GACCCGTTTAATGTTCATTTTACTTTTTGCTTATTTCAGCATGTCTCGAAAACTTTCTAAGGGAACTGAAAAGTTTTTGCATGGAATTATAAAATTCCTTTATCCAAAGATAATCCTATGCAAAATATAACTATGAGTATTTATTTTTTATAATGCTATTTTACAATAATAAAAAAAAATTGAACAATAATAAAAAATATTTCTCAAATTGCGGCTACCAGCCACGGTGGCTTAGGGGATAGAGGCCTTGCCTCCCAATGAGGTGACCCGGGTTTGATCCCAGCGATAGCTGGTCGATTCGAATTCCGCATCCGGTTCGCACCGGTTGCAGTGATGACGTAAAATATCCTCACTGGTAGACGGATCATTGGCTAGAGTTCACTTATCCTCAGGCTAACCCTGGGAAGTTTTCGTGGTTTTCCTCTCAATGTAAAGTTAAAGCGGGTCAGTTCCATCAAAAAGTCCTCCACGAGGGCATATTTCTCCCAATACTTGATCCAGGAGTTCCTTTGTCTTCTGGATCGGGCTCAAAATTACAAGACTACGGAGTTGAACATTAGTAGTAGTTAACGAAAAAGATTGGGTCGGCTGCTCAAAATTGGTTACAAAATAAAATGAAATGAAATAAAATTGCGGCTTCCCCTATACTTAAGGGTGTCAAAAATCCGAAAAGGGTATGTTTATGCACGAAAGTATGTTTTTTGTTGTATGCTTTCTTAACTTAAAATATCTTCTGCTCTAATTAATTAGCACATTTAAGGAAATTGGCACCCTTGAATTGAGGCCTAAAACGTGAAGAATCATCCGATCATTAGAACAAAAGTTATTTATGGTATTCATTTTTTTTGGTGCACTGTACATATTAAATATTTTAACGCTATTAAACATAAAAGTATTTCATTATTTTAAAACTATGATACTCATACCCATTGGAGTTACACACGGTGACAGAAGGCAGTTCCGTTTCTTTTGCTGTTTGGACTATAACATCTGTTGTTGTCTTGTACTGCCAATAAAGATCCATGAAATCTAAAGATTGATATATGAACCCAGTCAGACAAGCTATCAATACTACAGTACGAATGATTTTTTTAGGAGTATTGGTAGCATCGACTATTTGAGGAATGCCAGTAACCATTGAATTCCGCAATGTGTCTATTCCATAGTTAAAGAAACCTTTTTCCCGTTTTCTTAACATCGTTAAAGAAGTTCAATTCCTATAAGTGAAAAAAATTACAACTTTAGGAGTTCCAGTTCAACTGGATTTAGCAACGTTGATGAGGTAATGACATATTGTGCGATGAGTGTGAAAAGGATTGTTTGTTTGTTCCGTTTTAAGTGGTGAGATGTGAGATTACCTGAATCGGCTTCGAATATAGGCATTCATTTCTTGTAAAGTACATTGTTTTTAAGCTGCCTATCAAATAAATTGATAATTATTTTAGTTATATTTACAGGTTTGTTTGATTATTTTTAGCAATCAAAGGTTATTATTAACTAAACACGTAAGGTTATTATTAAAACAAGTTCAAATCTCAGCGATGGCTGATTATGATGAATTTCGCTCCCAACATAATAATTGCTTTGGCATCATTGGATGACAACTTCAGCTTCATTGACAACCAGCATTAACTATCCCCGTATTGACTTACCAAGTGCAAGAGACATGGAGCTTCAGCCCACAAAATATCATACGGCATTTCTATGATAGAATGCTTACTCGTTTGCATGCCTGCATTCAAAATTCTGGTGGTTACACCTGTTTTTAATGAACCAGTATTTCATAAATGAAATGATTTTTCTCCTTCTTGCATTAACCTGTGATCTTAATCAATTAAATATGTTACTCAGATAAACACGTTGCGGAAAGTAATTTTATTTATTTATAATTTTTTATTTATAATTTTTTTTTTAACAATTGAGGGAAAGTTATTTTATTTTTCTCTTACCATCACAGCAGGGAATACTATAAACTATAAGTCATAATCTCGAGTTCGAAGGGAAAAACTGTTAGAGCAGGGAAAATTTAATGCAGAATAAAATTTAAAAGTTGTTTGTTTCCAATAAAATGAAGAAAAAAAGCGTTATCATAAACAATAAATGAATAAATTAACTGCAAATGTTTTTTTGACAAAAAGTATCATACTCTTAAAGTAAAATAAATTTTTAAATGTGTAAGTTTCGCAATTATAATTTTTACAAATAAACCGAAGATTAAGATTATTTTTTTAAAAAGTTGAGACAATAGGATTTAGTAACTGAAATATGCAGTTTTCTGACAATTTTACATTCCATTCTACATTAAATAATACCAGTTAATTATTTTTAAAATTTCAATAATATGTTGAATACTTAAAGAATTTAATTTTTTGATCAAAATTTAGCCAATAACAATGAATAATTATGCAAAAAATACATCGCGATTCATATGCACTATTTTAGTGAAATTTACGTTAAACTGTCACGACAATTTCAGTTTTTAGCCTTTATGCATTTCAAAATTAATTATTTTTAGAAAAAATATTATATACTTATTTTTATAGTATGTATATCATATATTGTATGTCATTTGAATGTCTTATGAATCATGCAACGAAGTGTTCTAATGTAATTTAATTTTGCTTCACAATTAGACTAACTATAACAAAAAAAATAATCAACATTTATTTTGCAACTAAATCAGTTAGGTTTTATCGGTTTATATAAGCATTAAAAATTATATACGTTAGCCACACAACATTTCATTACTAAATTACTTTTAAATAACAATATTCCAGTTGTGAATAATTTCTATAAGAAAAAGAAAGAAAAAACATAAAGTTTAACGTTTGAAAAAATAAAAATTATCTCATCAGAAATGTAAGAAATTAAAATTAAAATTTGTAATTGTCTAAATTTAGCATTTACAAATTTTAGAAACTACCACATTGGGAGTTAGGGACACACATAGGGAAACAATTAAATTTAAATAATAAATCAAGCATTTATTACTGCAATTAATTCGATTTTAATGTACAGTAGATTTGTGTACTTACTATTACATATTCATTTCAGATAAAATTCAAACAACTTTGCCATCTCATGTTTTTTTTAGGAATGAATAATTTCTGGAGAAAATGAAACAAAAATCCATTTTTGTGAAATTCTGTAGAATAATTTAGGCAATCATTTGGTTATAATCATTGGATAAAAAAGAAATCTTAATTATTGCTTTGCTACAACTCTTTGTTTTATTTATTTTATTCATATAAATCACTGTACAATGGTGTATCACTCAAATGCATAACTCGATGATGAAAGCTAAATGTGAAGTCGAAACAGGTTTATTTTACTCGAGTCATATTTTTATTAATCAAGTACTTAATTAAAGTGTTTCATGCAAATATTATCTGGCGAAAGTCAATATGTTGTTCAACTGCAGTTACCAATCGAATTTTACATTTACACTTAATTATACATGCTCTGTAGTTGTTGAAAAAATAAATATTTGTGTTTAGAGTTCAATCTCTTTATTCTTCTTTTATATTTCTTAAAAACTTGAGAAAAATAATTGATGAAAAAAAAACTATGCTGCGGATCTGCATAAAATTTTATTAACTTATTTTGTAACGAAAAAAGAATAAACAACAATTTGTTCATGTTTATTTTTAGTGATTTTGATTTTTTGTCACAAACCATAATTTTAGTTTATAAATTGCATATTTTTAAAATAGTAGAAATTATACGTTTCCAAACGGTTTTAAAGTAGAGATAAGCATTTTTATTAACTATTTCAATGTTAACTTATTGAAACGATTAGAAAAGAAAAACAAAACGAAGACGAAAAGAAAAAATAAGTAATACTTAATTATTTGTGATGTATAAACCCGTTCCTTGCATGAATGTATTCAAATTAATTGTGATATATTGGGTTTGATCGAGATATTGGGTTTTTATATCGCATGAATACGAATGCCGATATTCAATTCTTAAACCAGGTGAATATGAATCACACCGCAAAACTTTTATATCTGTTAAATACAAAAATCTATTATTGGTATGAAAATCGCTGTTCAGTAAGAATCGCTATTCCGCAGATTCTGGTGCAGTTCCGAAAATTCAAAATGGCGAAAATCTACAATACCCACTAAATCAAAGAAGCGGAGGAATCACGTGGTTTAGTTAATAGGTTTGAATGACCTGTTTCATTATTCTTCAGTAAAAATAAAATTGTGATATATTTAGTTCAACACAATGACTCATTTTAAAATTACGAAAAGTTATAAATTTTTTTTTGGAAAACTTTATTTTAGAATTTATTGTGTTTATTTTGCATTCTAAATCTTTTATTATAATATGTTTTAATTATATCATCATATAATTAGAATACAACAGAATATGAAAACGTAAAACTAATTTCAGGTTAGGCGAGTGGAGAGCGAGTGGAATCCGAAAGTTAGATACTCATATGTTTGCATTAACATGGAAATAGGTGACGTGTGCATGTTAATGCAAATGAATGGATATCCGCAATCCTCCCGTTTCCTCGGTGCATGGTTCTTGACTTACAAAAAGTATGAGTATACAGTCTTCCAACGTACAAAGAAAATTGAATTTTTCCGATATAGAATGGATCCACTTGTATAGGTTAGACGTTAATGCAAACGAAAGGAAATCCGGCATCTTCTTGTTTCCGCATTACGAAAAGTTGTAATAAAAATTGTGGAAAACTGTACTTTATGATTCTTTAGAATTTATTGTGTTTATTTTGCATTCTAAATGTTTTATTATAATACGTTTTAATTATATCATCATATAATTAGAATACAACAGAATATGAAAATGGGAAAGAAATTTCAGTTTATGCGAGTGAGTGGAATCCGAAAGATAGATAATCAGATGTTTGCATTAACATGGAAACAGGTGACGTGTACATGTTAATGCAAACGAATGGAAAGCGGCATTCCTCTCGTTTCCTCGATGCATGGTTCTTGACTTACAAAAAGTATAAGTATACAGTCTTTCAACGTATAAAGAAAATTGTATTTTTCTGACATAAAATGAATCCACTTGTAGGTTAGATTTTTTTATGAAGCATTGGCGAAGTGGTATATCTTCTACACTTTTATAATGATAGAATTTTAAAGTCTTCATTGCTTTATAGAAAGAAAACAAACAAGTGAAAAGATGGTAAGAATACGCATGCGCTCTAACAATACAGAACTGAAATACATACAGTGAATTATTTGCACAAAGTTCCAAAAATGTTCTGAAGCTACAGAATACATCTCTATATCATTTCATATGTATATTTTGAATTAAATTTGCATTAATCCAAACAAAGCTGTATGTGAATCGTTGCTGACGTTAAACTTGTTTACAAATCTCTTGCAAGGTTTTTTATTCTCTTTGTTCTTCCATTCCTTTTCCTTGCTTTCATGTAATTCTTGAAAGGATAGCTCAAGATAAGGACGACTGTCTCTAAGAAATCAAATACTGCAATCAAGGAAATCCCAAGCCAAATTCCAACATACCCACCAATATAACTGAAAGTTTCTATCACCTAGAATGTATAATCAACAGTAATTATCATTCTTATTTAAGAGAGTACACATAGCTAGAATGTATAATCATCAGTAATTATCATTCTTATTTAAGAGAGTACACATAGCTAAAATGTATAATCATCAGTAATTATCATTCTTATTTAAGAGAGTACACATAGCTAGAATGCATAATCATCAGTAATTATCATTCTTATTTAAGAGTGTACACACAGCTAGAATATATAATCGTAAGTAATTATCATTCTTATTTAACAGAGTACGCATAGTTCTATTCAAATTCATATCTGATTTATCTTGATTAAAATTATGCTTTTATCCATTATTGTGTTTTTTATTTATCAAATCTGTAGCATTTAGTAATCATTAGGAATACAAGCTTAGACAAGTTGAATAGATATTCAATGATAGCATTTTTATCTTATTTAAAAAGACCTTAACGGTATTTTTATTGAAAAAAATCCGAATCGACCTTCATTTATTAATAATTTGAAAAAATGCATGTTTTGGAAAGAATTTTACAATTTATTTGCACCTTATTGGAAGTGAAACATTGAAAAGTTGTGTAAGTAACTGGCCTAGGTATATATATATATATATNTATTTATATATATAGTAATAAGTTTTTAATAACTGTCGTTGAACAGCTGACCCAATTTTTGGGTTTACGAATACTAATGTTTAACTCCGTAGCCTTGTTAATTTGAACGCAATCCTGAAGACAACTACTGGATCAAGTATCGGGAGAAAACTTTCTTCTGGAGGACTTTTTGATACAACTAGCCCACATTTGCGTTACATGAAGAGGAAAACCACGAAAATCTCCCGTGGTTGGCCTAACGGTAAAGGAACTGTTACCCATGATCCGTCTTTCACTGATGATAATTTACATCAGCACTGTGGTCTGTGAGAGCCGGGTGTGAAGATCAATTCTACCAGCTGTCACTTGGATCGAACCCGGGTCACTTCATAGCGAGGCGAGCGCTCTATCCTCTGAGCCACCACAGCGCATACGGTAATAATTATCGAATTATGACCAAATTAGAAAGACTGCTACTAATAATATTGCTTCTAAACTGAAACATTAAAAATAATTTTCTACTTTTAAAGCCCGAATTTTCCTTATTTAAATACATAATAACTAACACTATTATTGACAATACCATGTTCAGTGTGATAACTTATGTTTTAGTAATTTTTTTTGCTGAATTTCAACTATTTACACAATAACACAATGCATTTGCTTGTTTTTCTTTGCTTTGCTAGCAAATATTTTTCTTTATAAAAAATTAACAACTTTTTAGTAGATTTTCCATTTAAATTTTAAAATTATAAGAAAAAAACTTATGAAACGGCTGAAAACTATTACCTCAAATTTAGGGGAATATGAATACGTTACTGTTTCCATTCCGTTCAAGTAGATAGCAACATGGATGTTTTGACTAAAATAAAAATATCCTTTTCAGTACGTTATCAACACATAATTCACAAACCAAAATAATTTATTTAATTTTAAAAGATTTTCTTAGGAGATTAGCAGCATTATTTAAGATTAAAAAAATATGTTGCTAACTCTCTTGGGTGAAACAGAAACGAAAACTGTCCATATCGTGTTCCTAAAATTTATTTTAACATTTTTTAGAATTAGTATGTTTTCACTTTCTAAAGTATCGAAAGTATTTGTTATGTAAAAAAGGAAATAAAATTTGTTTGTGAGAAATAAAAATATATTTTGTAAATTTTTTTAATTAAAACAGGCATAAGTTCAATGAAAAAAAAATTGAAAAAAAATCCCTCGACCATAAAATAAGGCAATATTATATCAGTTGCTACACTCAATATTCAAATGTTCTTTTTTAGAAGACTATTCAGCAAAGTACATACTAATTTCAAAATTTAACAATTGTTAACTTACGTTCCAAAAAAGCAAATGAAGTTCATAAACTTAACAGTGAAATATCTCTCCAAAATTGTGGTAAAAAAACGCAAAATTGTTTTTAAAAAGTACTTTATTTCGAATTAAAATCAAATTGACAAAAACGAATTTCTGTCAAAATTATAGAGACATTGCAATTTGTTTTCTCGCTGCACAATCTCTTTCGGACCCTATGCTTCATGACTTTTAAAAATTCAAAAAAAAAAAATACTTACGTAGGACCAGATGCATATCCGCAACCAGTCTGTAAAGAAGAAAATCTTAATTTGAAAGTCTAGACTTAAATGAAATTACATATTCCCTTAATAAAGTATATAATGCCAGTCACAATTCGTCACACCATAAGTAAATTAATAAGTAACTTAAATAACGAAAAAGTACTTAACTAGACTAAGCTAAATGATAGTTGACTGATAAGTGACTAAAGTTATACAAAAGTACTAAACTAAACTAAACTAACTCATAGCTAAACTGATAAGTAACGAAACAGACGCAAGTAACTAAACTATCATTTCAAACAAATACATAAAAGTAAAATTACCTCAGAATACTTCTCCGTTATTTGTCTTGCAACTTCAAAAGTCTCTTCGCTAATAACAGAATCAAAAAATTATTTTATTTATTTATTTCTCTAGAAACTAGGTAACGTAACAATCACTCTTGTCAGCTATAAATAACCCCTTAACTACTTGCACGAGAACTATTACTTTATAAAGAAATAATTTTTTTTCTCTTATTAATAAAAGAAAGTATATTTCTGTTGCCACCGTCGTTGTTTCAGAGTTCAGGTTTGGCTAGTGATTGCGAGAATTAGAGGCATCGTCTCTAACATAATTAGAACAATGCTCAAGAGATATTTAAGTAAAAAATCCTGATAACCAGAATATATTAAGTATAAAATTCACATCCGACACATAACCACAAAATGACGCATAGTCATCAACCAAAGAGGGAAATTCTTCTTTACTGCAAAATGATTTATAAGTGCATAAATGTTTCTAATTTTTTGCAAGGATAATTTTTCATGTAAGAACAGGTTTTGTAATGGAGTAAAAGAAACTTTATGAACTTAAATAGTATCACAAACTAAAATATAAACATTTATACACGTGAAACATCACAAAATCATTTCGTTATGAACAGAAATTAGCTTAAAAATTGTCTATTGTCAGGAAACTTGGAGATACTATCTATTAATTATTATTAATTAAACCTCTCCGAGCATTCGCAGAACATTATTTTAATTTTTTCCATAGTCTGAACTTAGATGCTTAACAATGAAGTAAAATTAAGTATTCCTCTCTTAGATTAGTTTATGGGTTATCATTTGCGGCGGCGACTTTACTTGGCTGTTTTCTGGGACTATCGCTAAATATGTAAATCTTTATTGTAACCCAATGTATGACCCAATTTTTTTAAAATTTTGTCTCCCCTATTTCAAGGGTCAGGATTCCAAATATGTAAAAAAAAATACAATATTTGTTTATTCAAAGAAAGTACGATTTCGTGTCTGATTCCATAACTTAATAATAATACTTAGCACTAATTAATTAGCATATTTTAGGTCACCCCCAGGAAACATTAAGATTGACACTTAGTTCGTGAAAATCCGATCATTAGAACGAAAGTTATTCTGGGTGATATCTCTTTTTTTTGCCGACTGCACATATTACAGTTTGAATTACTGATGCCAACATTAATTAAAACTTATGATGAATATTTCATTCTGGATATAGCAATCGAGCTTACTCTATGCACTATTCTTTTGAGAAAATCAAATATGATACTTACAAACATGCAGGATGACAATGTTCTTTTTCACATTTTGTAATTTCATCTTCTGGTAAATCCATTTCTTGCTCTGTAAAATTCAAATGAATTAATTATAGCAAAGGGTTAAACTGTCTTCATTTGTAACTCCAAATCTATTTATTTTCTGGAGAAAAAATAAAAATAAATAAAAGTATATTATTCTTTTCCCTCTGTCAAAAAAATATAATTTCTTCAAAATTATATTAACTGTTTATAAAATGAAAATATTTTTCTAATAGTACATATTTTAAAAATTAAAATAATTAAAATATTTGCCAGCGTCTTTTGAAAAAAAAAAACCCCTGATCTTTGAATACTAAAACTTTCACTAGAGTATAGGCTATAATAACTTTGTTCCTATTTTTTCCTCAAACCTAATGAATCGGTGAGCGATGTCGATAGGTCCTTTAAATTTGATAGCCACTTTTTGCATTTTTTCCTTTATTAAATTATGTATTTTTTAAAAAAAAATATTCTTGTTAGAATTAATCTGAGGATAAGAAAATTTAATTCCACAATAAAAATAAGATAAATAAGCAGCGAAATTTATTTAAACATACTGACTTCTAAGAACTAGTTTTCTGAATTGTTTGGGGAAAAAATGCATTTAATGTGAAACATAACAACTTTTGAAATATGTGAATTGTTAAAGAAGTTTCTTTCCATATGAATCTTTCAACCACGGATTAATAAATTCCGAAGGATCAAAGTTTTGAATGGAAACATCGGACATTTTAATGAACAATCGGTTTTCCAGAGTCCCTTTCTACTCCGGCTATTGATGTACTCTTATCATTAAACAAATTAAAAAAAAAAAGTTGGAAAAATGTGACCGGATTTTTTTGGCTATTTTGAAGTCTAAGAGAAGAATATTTGAAGCAGACATCCAATATTTTGGTGAGATTTGGCATCCGATACCTAAACGGTAACGCGGGTGTATATTTGTACTGCCCTTCTCTAGCTTGTGGTAACTTACCTTTCATAATGCACCGTCTTTCATTTCCTGGCATTTGGTAGAAACGAGGAATACATCCACGAACCTGCATGCTGACGTTTTTCAAGCATTCCTCAAAACATTCCTAAAATTTAGAAATTTGATTCATTATCTTTGGTACCCATATGTTATCCAATAGCATGTCCTCAGATTCTGTGAAATATAAGTAATTTTCCTCAGCTTCGTTATGTACAACCTTAACGTACACACACACAATGGGCTCGCCCAGGTTTTCAAGGTTTCTCGCCCAGGAACAATGTTTCCATGGGGCACATTAGGACCCATAATCCTTATAGAACAATCCCTGACGTCTGTATGCTACTTGAACATAGTTACAGACCAGGTTCACCCATTCATGGCAACAGTTTTTCCTGCGGGGGATGGTGTTTACCAACAGGATAATGCACCATGTCATAAGGGTCGAATCGTCATGGATTGGTTCGAGGAACATTCCAGTGACTTTCAAGTAATCTCTCGGTCCCTAAATTCACCTGACCTTAATCCGATAGAGAATTTGTGGTCCTACTTGGAAAACCAAATTCGTACTGCCACGCTACCTTCTCGCAATGTGAGGGAATTGCAGGACCAGTTGGTGAGCGCTTGGTACCAGATACCTCAGACTACCTATCAGCACCTTGTGGAATCAATGCCACGGCGGGTGCTAGCAGTTTTGACGGCTGAAGGTGGTCCTACATGTTATTAGCAGGGTGGTCATAATGCAATGGCTCTTAGATGTGTATATATATATATATATAT